GCATTTAAGTCTAAATGATTGCCTGTGGTCAGGGTCAAACCTGAATTCGAACATATTCGACATTCTTGTTAATTTCAAATTAAACAAAGTCGCCTTTACTTCAGACATAGAGAAAGCTTTCCTACAAATTTTATTAGCCGAAAAAGGAGAGAGATGCAGTTCGCTTTCTATGGGAAGAAAATGGTAAATTTCAAGTTTACAGATTTAATCGTGTTCTTTTTGGTGTTACAAGCAGTCCATTCCTTTTGACTGCTACTTTGAAAACAAACCTGAGAAAGCACTCTGAAGAATTCCAGACTACAACAGAATGCTTAGACCGCTGTTTGTATGTGGATGATTTTATTTCTGGAGCTGATAATGTGACGGATGCTTTTGAGATCTCCACTCAAGCTACATCAATTATTAGCCAAACTAACATGCTGCTACGAAAATGGACTACGAATGACAATACATTGATGCAGTTTTGGACACGTGAAGGTTTCGATACCAGCCAAAATCACACTATTAAAGTTTTGGGACTGCCATGGAATCCTGCTGAAGATTGTCTAATATTGGGAAAGCAGCGCCTAGTGGAAGAGTCTGTCTAAAAATGAAAGTACAAAACGATTCCTGCTACGTACAATTGGAAAGCTTTTTGATCCGCTTGGGTTGCTTTCACCGTTTACTATTCGTGGCAAAGTTCATGCTACAAGTCTTATGTGAAGATATTCTTGGATGAAGAAATACCTGTAGATATACAAAACATATGGCTTCAATGGTGCTCCGAGGCTCCTGAATTTTCAGAGTTACGAGTTCCTAGAAACGTGCTCAATTTAAATATACAAGAGCCAACCGATATCTTAGAACTACTCTGCTTCTGTGATGCTAGCCAAAACGCTTACGGTGCTGCTATTTATACAAGAGTTGTGAAGGATAATAACATCGAAGTGAAACTTATTGATTAGCAAGATTCGAGTGACGCCACTAAAGAAAATCACTCTTCCGAGACTAGAATTACTCGGTGCTTTGCTTGCCGCCCGACTGCGAGTAAAGTCAAGAAAACAGTGGATTTAAAAAAGCCCTCCTAGTGTTCTTTTAGACGGATTCAAAAATAACTCTCTATTGGATTAAAGGATCTACGAAACGATGGGAATCATTTGTTGCCAATAGAGTTAACGAAATACAGAGTTTAAGTGATACCAGTGCCTGGCACACTGCCCTGGGACAAATCCAGTGATCTCCTCAGCAGGGTAGTCAGTGCTGACATTTATTGAACAGTGACATTTGGTGGCATGGACCCCAATTTTTGAGAGAAAAGACTGATGTTCCGGTAGACAATAATGACATTCTAATTTCATTAGATGACTTTTCTGATGAACTAAAGAAAACTGATGACTCTAATGATCATTCTCCTATTGATTTATCAATAATGTTAGAAATGAAAAGCTTACAGGTCACCTTACATTTAGCGAGTTGAGAAGAGCGGAAATCTATTTATTTAGGTCAATCCAACAAGGTGAGTTTGTAGATGAAATAAAACATCTTGAGAGAGGTGCCTCACTGCCCAGCAACAGCAAGGTAAAATCTTTAAACTGTTTTTTAGATAAAGACAATGTTCTAAGGGTTGGAGGCAGACTGAAACATTCTGACCTCAGTACATGTGAGAAAAATCCAATTGTTCTGCCAGATAAGCATCCATTAACTTTAATAATTGTGAGATATTATCATTTAAAAGTATTTGCATGTTGGTTCAAATGCATTATTGTATCATGTTCGACGTAAAATTTTGGTCTTAAATGGCATAAGAAAGTTTGTTCGTAAAGTTGTTTTCAAGGGTATAACTTTTTTTAAAAACAAACCTGTTTTTGAGAGTCAGATAATGGGTGATCTGCCCAAAGAACGAGTAACACCTTCTTACCCTTTAGTAATGTTGGAACTGATTTTGTGGACCATTCCACATTAAATTTAAAAATCAGCGTAAAGGAAAACTAAACAAAAACAAAGTTTATGTGTGCATATTTTGTATGCTTAAGCAACCAAAGCCATCCATTTAGATTTTGTCCTCTGATCTTACTTCAGATGCCTTTATAGCTTGTTTGAAACGATTTTTTATAGTCGCAGGGGTAAATGTGTAAAAATTATTCAGTGACAATGCAAATAAATTATGTGGGTGCAAGCATTGAGCTGAAGGAAAATTGCATAAATTGGTTAAACACCCAGATGGAAACACTGACTAAATACCTGCTAAGTGAAAAACATTGAGTGGAGGTTTATCCCTCCTAAATCACCAAACTTTGGCGGTCCTTTGGGAAGCCGGGGTAGAAATCTTTTAAGTTTCACTTTGAAACGAATTATCGGCAATGCTCATCTGTTTCTTGAAAGAATTTCTCACTGTAATTCTAGAAGTTGAAAGCGTATTAAATTCCAGACCCCTTACTCCCATTATCATCCGAGTTTGATAATTTTGAAACCTGTCCCTCGGACTTTATCATAGGAGGGGGCCTTTAACTTCAATAGCTGAACCCCAACTTATTGAGATACCAGAAAATAGGCTCTCAAAATGGCAAAAAATAACGAAATATAGTCAACAAATTTGGAAGTTATGGAAGAGAGACTATTTAAATAACCTTCAACACCGTAGTAAATGGATGTTTGCTAAAGATAATGTTAAGGTGGGTTCACTTGTGTTAGTCAAGGATGAGCATATGCCCAGTACAAAATGGTTAACAGGTAGAATTGCAGAAATAATTTTTGGAAAAGATAAAAAAGTTCGAATGATTAACATAGTATTACCAGGTGGTAAAATGTTAAAAAGAAATGTGAGAGACATTTGTGTTCTTCCTGTGAATTGTAATTAGATTTAGTATTGTATATTGTAATGTGTTTCTTTCCAGTGTTTATATTGCATTTATGATTTAATGTGTCTTTAAATTTAACCATGTATTGCTATTGCTTACAATTGTTTGTTATTATATATTGCTTTTAAAACGTGTATACTAATTGTATTTTGAAACCCGTAAGGTGTCAAGGTCGGGAGTATGTTCAGTAGTGATTAAAGTTGCCGACAGGAAGGCGCTGCTAGCACGTTATACTCTCGACCTACGTAATTTGAATTCAGTATTTTTTCTTTGTGTACTTGCTGTAACAGATCTTACAGCTTTGTGATTGAGAATTTAAAATGTTTTGGAGCCAGATCGTTCCTCTACAGCAACAAAATGATTAATAAATGTATAATAAAGTAAATATCTTTGTGATGATAATCTTTGTTATTAAATACAAAGTCAACCAGCTCCTGAGTACAGTTCACATACATTTAGGTGTTTTGCATAATGAAACTCAAAAGGCATACGAAACGAACGTGCGCCAAGATATATATTGGCAAGAGAAAGTAAAGTTCGCGTGCAATGCAGTATATTTGACTTTCACCTTAGCTACGTGCAGTGTATTCGATTTTCACCCTAGCTACTTATATCACGGCTCAAAGGTCTAATTCAGTTAGTACTTTCTCTTTTCAGGTATCGTGTCAAAGTATGTTCCTAATTTTTCTTATTGCCTAAATAGGTATGCTTGAAGATGTACGACTTATATTTGTATGTAAGTTATCTCCTTTTCGATAATTCAGTGTTTTAATGTCTGTGAAGATTATTACTTTTTGTTATGCTTAAGTTAAGCAAAATTCTCCTATTTCATTAAATAAAGATTTCGTAGTTAGTTTTTTGATTTATGATTCTTTAATGAAAACTGCGCCTGAGGAAACTTACTCATTACGCCTTCAGTGCTAATGCACAAACCAACATTTCCTTTGACATTAAATGAGCAATTCCCATCCTATCGCGGCCAGACTATAGATTCTTTTGTAAACCAAGATGAGGGTGAGTTCTTGTTTTAAATTGCATTAATAATGGAATGCTGTAAATGACAGTCGGCTGGAAATCATTAAAAAATGACTCAAAACGGAGGCTTCTCATAACATTTTTTGTGGACTTGATGCTGTGAAATATTGTCATAAATACAGTACTAATGAAAACTAACAGGTTTAGCTACGACAGGAATGTGTACGTTTACGCTAACGGAATACTATTCATAGAAGGAAGGAGAAAGAATTGGAAAAACCACTAAAAATGCTTTTTTCTACTTTTGAAGTGATGGAAGAAAATGAATTTCATCTGAAACAACAACAAAAAAAAAAAAAAAAAAAAAATCCAAGTTATATATAATTAGGGAAACCAAAGGCCCTGGAGCAATAGCGTATTTTGAAGTCTAGCAGAAGTTTTCCCTAAAGCTCGGAAACACTATGTATACGGCTGAATTTGTGTGGCTATGTCTATAGAAAAACACAGATGATCAAGAGGCCTGGTGTGTGAGACTCCAAATAATAACTAGCGCAATATTTTTCTATCAAAGTGGAATATATATGAAAATACTTCTCTTCTGGGAAAAATTGTCATGCAGTATTTCGTTGCGATTGTATGCTTTCCATCTCTATTATGCCAGCCTTTTATGACACATAAAGCTTTTAAGCACATAAAGCACACATAAAGCATTTAACTTTATGACACATAAAGCTAAAACATAAATTAACATAAATTGAATTTTTGTACCAAACGTACCCTAATACTGCTGATGGCAATATTAGGTGTGGCTGTGTAATAATAAATTTTAACATGTGTTATTTTTATACCATAGTGTGAAAATTTTTTAAGAACGATACAAATGAAATCAGAAATATAGATGGTTCGACTCAATGTTGATTTACCAACAAATTGTATCTCAGCATTAGTATGTCTCAGAGAGATACAAGAGAGAGATGGAATCACTTCAAACCCAAAATGTGATGCTAACTTACTTCAAATAAAAGAAGGTAAATTTCCAAATATTCCCTATATTTTATATTCACTTATTTTTGCTCTACAGGAAAAACCTGAGTTCTACTTAAAGCAATCTGTAGATTCAGATCTCATCTGACTGTATTACGTTCACAGATTATTTGATTTGATTGATTGGAAAGAAACCACACTACACATGATAATTTAACTTTTAATGAATGTTTAAATAAAAGGTACATTTCATCAATGGGATACATTTTATTGGATTACATAAATGAAGAATATTGCACACACACGCACATAGACTGATAATGTACAGTGAATGAATGACGAATACATTTTGAACTTCTCGGCGGATGTCAGGTGAGCACCTTCATCATACAGACCATCATCTTAGCCCTCGCCTTTCGGTTGACTTTCTGAAAGAGATTACAGTAAAGGTAAACAGAAATCTGCGCGCTGTATTTTTCATCATTTTTATAATTAACGATAGGTTTCAATTAAAATGGTCACATGATGTCTAGAATATAACCCATCACTCGTGGGTTGAATATCAATTTATAGATCCAGACCACTTCAGATACGTGGCCATTTTAGTTGCCTTGCAGAACAATTACAAAGGGTGCGTTTTTATACCCTTGTTCCGCCGAATCAGTTTTAGATAACTTAAAGCTAGGCATTTGTGGATATTGTGAAAATGCTTAGACTTGTAACAATAAATATTGCGAAGGAAACCATTTTACATAAAATGCTATGTTTTAAGTCAAGCATCCTGTAATCATTCCTGCTAGTCGGAATTTAAATAATACTCAAATTACACATAATATCAGTTAAGAAGTATAAATGATTATTTTTAAGTAATAATTATTATTTACAGTTTTAAATGAAAATTTAATTAAAGAAAATATCTTTTTATACTGTCTAACATTTATAAATCGAAACTAAAAGTATCAGGCAAAAAATTCGATTTTTCAGTAACCCAATTTATCAAGAAAAGTGATGATTAATTTCAAATTTTACGTTTCAACATATAATTCGACTTAGTCTGCTACTACATGGCAATACTGCATTGTGCAAGTTTTAGGGCTGGCAGTCACTTATAGTCACTTTTAAGAACAAAACTCTTGAGTCACGTGGTTTTCTATTCTTGAAATACGGTGAGAGGTAATATTTCCGTGACAACATAACTATAGTGGTTTTCTGACTTACTACTGTTAGCCTGTTTTTTTTTTTTTTTTTTTTTTTTTTGGCTAGAAATTATAATTTGAAACTGACAATAAAGTTATAGTCATTAGTAAATGTAACAGTTGTAATCAAAAGAATTACTTGGAGAATAGTACAGCAACCAAGCATCATTTGATTTCATCATTACTAACCTGGTAGCCGCTACTTAAAAATGCACTCCTCGAAGGTCGTAGAACAATTTACCCCAGGCGGACTATTGAATTCTAAAGAAGTAATTGGTTGGCACGGTTTTTAAACTGTGTTCGTATGTTTTTAAACTGTGTTTTTATGTGTAGATAATTATAAAAATGATCTAAAAAAATCTGAAAGTTTTCAGATTTTACATTACGCCCAAAGGGGCATTTTTTTCATTTATACACACATATACGTTTTGAGAACATTTTGGCTAATGTCCCTTTGAGCTAAAAATATTTAGAAACAGCATGTCTTTAGAATTTTCGATAGACAATCTCGCGCGGGGGAGATAGAAATGGTTTTTTTTCGTACATCGATCCAGTAGAATGGTACCCTAACACCAGGGTACCTAAGTTCCGAGACCCTAATTTCCTCACCCTAATGAAGATCCTATTTGAATTACACTGGTGAAATAAATTAAGAGAATTTTCATATTTGATCTATGATCTCCAGAACTATTGGACAGATTTTAATAAAATTTGGTGTGAACATAGGTTAATATAATGCAAACAAAATAAACATTTAACAGTTATAATAGACACACATGTTCGTCTGTAACACTCATGCGAGTGTAAAGGTCTGAAACAACAGTTGCAGAAGACACAAAAGAAATGGGTTAATAGAGGGTATGGTCACCTCTTACAGCCATACAGGCATTGCAGAGTGATGTTATGCTGCAAATAAGGCAGTTTATCAGTGGCTGTGGCAATTGGTCCCACTCATTCAGAAACGCTATTTTCAGTTCTTGGATGGATCTTGGAGGAAAGTTGCGAGCTGCAATTGCCCTCCTCAGAGCGTCCCAGACATGCTTTCTAGAGTTGAGGTCTGGAGACCTGGCTGGCCAATCCATCCGGCGAATATCCTCACTCTCGAGAAATTCGTCAACCAGAAGAGCTCTATGTGGCCTTGCGTTATCGTCCTGTAAGATGAGCTCGGAGCCCACTGCACCCCTGAAAAGGCGAACATAGGGATCCAAGACCTCATCCCTATACCTCAAACCAGTCACAGAACCTCTGCCAAAGACGTGAATAAGTGTGCGGCCATCCAAAATGATGCCTGCCAGACCATTACATCACCACCGCCATAATTGTTGATTTCGCGGACATTGGGGGTTAAGTAGCGGATCCTTGGCTCTCTCCTTATGAAAGTACGGCGAGAATCGGTGTTTAGGCTAAAAAGGGACTCATCGGTGAACAGAACGGTCACCCATTGTTCCGTACTATAATCACTATTCTGCCTGCACCATGCTAATCGGACTCTCCTGTCCGTGGACGTGAGCGGGAAGCAAACAGCCTGTCTTCTGGCAAACAACCCTCTCTCATTCAGTCTTTTGGAAACAGTCACCCTTGTTACACGGGTTCTTTTGGCTGCATACAGGTCCCAAGAGAGCTGAGAAGCTGTAGCCCCTCTGTTACACCTCGCTACAATGGACAAATAGCGATCTTCTCTAGCCATCGTGGCTCTTGGACGACCTTGACCAGGCTTTCTCTCAGTGGATCCAGTATCCTGGAACTGCTTCCATAGGTTACACACGACGCTGGGGTTAAATTAAACTCTCTGCATATCTGGATTTGCGATTGGCCTGCCTTTAGCCTCCCTAAAATTTGCCACCTCATTCCATCATCTAACCGTTGGTGGTTATTCATTTTTACTGTTCCGATATGAATTTAACCGATTGCTGCAAGATAACACCAAGAAATTCGCCGAGGTGTGCTAGCGAACGCAATTCGTCTTACCCTCCACGCGCTTATAAAGTCTGTTTCTTTGCTACCTCCGCCTACACACACGTATACACTTACGTATTTGTCGTACAAGATTTGCATTTTTATCTAGAAGCAGTGGTTTTTCCTTCAATTGAGTTCTTTTCATGCAATTCGTTAAAATATGCAAATTCTCTTAATTTATTTCACTTTAAAATACGTATGCTACAGTCGCTCAGCACCCGTCCCTTTATTTTTTCGGCATCAATGCTATACGATATCGAAGGTAAAAATGGTGTGATGTAAAGCTATTTTCATAGGGAATGCAGTTACCTTTATGCCAGATACCACTACACGAGTAGGGTTTTACTTTTCTATTGTGGTTAATAAAACAACTGAAAATACTTGCATACACATGCTTTGGACCAGAGATAACTAATAACTTTAAGTTCAAATATGATCATTACAAGTATGAAGTCAGCTTTATGCTGGACTACCATTTTGAAAACTTTTGTTTAAAAGAACAATGGCCAATTTTCATAAAGGCTACAGCAACTTTAGGACAGGGCACCGTTATGAAGGCGTCTTGGTCGAACTGCCAGTGTTGCGCGGTCTTACCTACTGGGTCATGGATTGGCAATTAATTGAAGAGAGTACTTACTTGGGATTAAAAAAAAGAAATTATCTGCGCAAACAGAGCTGTTCAAAATATGTTAAAATGTAATTGACGGATACTAATTTGAAATGTAGCAAATAAAATGTCGAGAAATCAGTTTAAACAAAAACAAAGAAAACATTTTAAGTGATTTCGATTCTGCAATGGTACAACCCTCTTCTTCTGACCAAGATATGCCATTTTTGATTTCTGATTGCAGAAATGTTTTTTTCTGAAAATTAACACGAATATTAGATTTAACTAACAGAAGCCTTTCAAAGTATTCGGTCTTCTGTAAATACAAATTATGCAGAGAATTCTTCCTAAAATATACTTTTATAGAAATTTCTATGAATGAATTAAAAAAATACTTGGAAAGAAAAATTCTGTTTTACAGTATAAATGGTAGGGTACTTAAAAATATTAACACTGAAACGAAACTTACTATAGATCAAACTGAAAAAGTTGGTATCAAGGAAGACATGAATCGAAATGTAAGAGATTATTACATCAGAAACAGAAGTTTTTCTAGTAAATGCTTACTATTCATGTTTTACACTAAGCAGCTGTTTTTATAATTATATGCATACACAGAAATATTCTAAAATCATTCCTTGTGGCCCTGTGAGCCATACTGCTTGTTATTAACGATGATGGAAGCTGACGTATTAAACGTTTATTGTATCTCTTATTAATTAATATTATCTGTTTTCCTATGGAACAGTGTATCAAACAGAATGAAATTTTTGAAAACATGAATAGCATAGTTGAGAGATTAAATGCAAAGGAAGATACAGAGACTTGAATGGAATGCACGAGCTAAGGAACATGGAGTCTTCTTCATTTATTAAGCGTGAAATATCCATAAATAGTGAAAGTGTTAAAAATCATCCATGAGATAATATAAACTTCTCAAGCCGTACCTCAATCCCAAGAAGATTAATAATTTATAAAACAGATAACTACCAGTTTTGGGAAGTAGATCTATCACACCAGATTCAAAGAGATCAAACATGAAGTAGAGATATAAAAATGCCCTACGCCAAAATACACAATGTCACGGCATTAAATGCGCAGTATCTCTATGAGATTATCAATGTTTACTTTTGATTAAAAAAAGAACAGCAGTTTTAGATTTTTCCTGTAATATTTTTGAATTTTTTTTATCGAACCTCGGGCAATTGCCTTTTTTCAGAATTAGACACTCCTAAGGCAGGAAGTGATGGCCATTTTATTGTGGAGACACCTAATAAGCAGCCACCGTTACCTCCTATAAGGGGACAATTTACATCCACGGCTTTTTCTGGAATTCGAATCCGGGCCCTTCAGTATCGCAGTCGGGTCCTCTAACCACTATACTGTCTGGGCAGCATATTTTGGATTATGCAAATATTCGGTTCAGCCTTTTCAGATTTAGTACCTTGATATTTTCATCTGTTTAGCTCTTCGACAGATTATGTTTTTGGTAGAAAAATGGACTTTAAAATTGTCCCTTTATTCTTTCGGCATCAATGCTATACGATATCGAAGGCAAAAATGGTGTGATGTAAATAAAATTGCAATGAAAAATGTATATTCTTTCTAAATATAGTTTCATTTCTATACGCCAACCAAATTGAATTCCTTTTTCAACGTGAACCTCTGTCATATACTAACATCTTAGGAGCACTGATTAGTTGCTAAAGAAATCAAAAATGAGGAACAATAATCGGAGTAACATGAATAAATTTGCAAGACTATAGGCTCGAAGGTCAAACAGAGGCTCCCTCTTCAGATGTTTAGTGAATAATTAAAGCAAAGCATATGAGTACTACTGTAAAAGGTGTCAAGTCATTAAGGAGAATCCTTTAAAGGAAACTGGAAGAATTTATATTAACCTATAGATAAAATAACAAATCATTTTCGCAGGCAGTCCGTTGACAGTCGCTAACAATAGAATCCAAACCAAACTGTATGTTTTCTTAGCTTTCGTTCATTCACATTTAAAACCACTGAACTCTGACATCTTATTTTAATGCAGAGTAATACATAGATAATAATTCGGCAAAAATATATTATTAAAAATTAGTAACGCACTTTTTTCAATATTTGTGACTGTTGGAAAAGAGATCTGAATGTCACTTTATCTCCTGAAGTTAATTTTTAGCGTTCACCTACGAAGTAAGTTCCTTACATAAGCAAGTTTCAAAATTTTCTTGATATTTCTTTTATTATAAATAATACTCCGTAAGACCACATAAATGACAGTGCATAAAAAATGACAGAAAAATCATACCTCTGAGTCTAACAGTTTTCGAGAAAGATTCGAGAGGAAAAGTTTTACGTCACAATATTTCAAAAATAAATTTTATTGTGAACATGAATATTGTTATAAGCACATTATGTTACGTTCTCAAGAGAAGATTCTCAAAATGAGACATTTCAAGGCATGCAAGCGTGACCTGTATAAATGGCTGACTGAACACGATCCAACTCTGTGGTGTCCAGAAAAGGGAAAGGAGTATGGAGACGAACAAATAAGTCTCTTTTGTAAGTGGAATCTCTTTAAATAATCCTATAGAAAGAAATTCAAAGTGTGAGATCTAATGATCATGACGGCCATGTCCCCATACCCCTAACCCACATGTCCGATCTAGCGACCTAAGAATTCCTCATCTAGTCAGTTACATAGGAAAGCCTAAATGTTTCGGTTCTCTATCATGCTGAAAACTTGCCTTCCAATAAAGCCATATTATAGAAGCAGTCAATCAGAACATTAGGAAACTTATAATATACACATAAGTTACACATAAACTTATTTTCCATACACCGGACTAACGTCTTTCATATTCTTCTCGAAAACTTAATAGGTACTAGAGGTCACTTTCATGTACTCGGAGTGAGTGATCTCGTAAAGTTTGTGCGGTCTTGACTGGATACCCTGTGTAATATTCTAATTAAAGGAATAAATTAAAGCAAATATCTTCCCTAAAAGTGCAAAATAGTTTCAAGGTAAATAAAGCGATTTTGATCATTTTTAGGTAAACCTCTCAGACTTAAATGCAGAGTGGACATATAATATAATAAGAAAACTTTCGTAACTTACTTCCCCCGATTTCATAAAAAGAAAACTTCAATGACTTACTTTCCCTGATTTCTTCATGCAGTCCTCTACCTTAAAAAAAAGCAATACATTAATGGAACAGAAGACTGCAGTCATACAATCAGATTTCATCATGCGGTAAAACAATGAACAGCCTTACCTCAATCATTATTTCACGTAACATTGAGAAATTGTAATGAATGACAAGGAAATAAATAACAGCATTAAAAATTTGATATTATCACCAGAAATTAAGACATAAATTTACGAATTAATTAGTTCTTAAGATTAGTTGGATATCGTATACAATTCATTATATTGAAAATTACTCTAGTGATGGCATTTCTATAGTAACGTTAAGCTAGGAGACCATTAATTTGACCAAATATAGAAAATCATCAATTTTTTTTTATTCAATTTGCTGAAATTTTATTTTTAAAGACTGAATAGTAATTTCTAGGTTTCCTAAAGTGGAAGATCGTCACAGTGAGGAATGATTGCTTTATTTTGCACTATTAAAAATTTGTGGTCATCTATTTTAAATTTACGTATGCTTTTGTATAAAAACTTTTGTGCGCACAATCTTTCGCAGCTTCTTAATACCTCTGATAAAATACATGTAAAATTTTGAAATTTTTCATACGTGATAACGAAAATCAGTGTCAGATTAGCAGCAAATTGCACAACATCACAAAATGTGGCGACTTTCTTACGTGCCTCGAATTGATCAGACTAAAAGTACTAAAAATAATACGAGATGTAGAAATTTTAAAATTCCGCCTCTCCGCTATTACTTTTCATTAACAAGAGCTCTCATCTATTCTGCAGCTTTTCTTAAATTGATCTTCAATTCAGTCTCTATTGTGCTCTGCCATCCTATATTAAGAATTTTCAACATGCATTTTTACTTAATTTTATCGTTTCTGCCTTTCGATGCTGACAAATGTAGCATATGTTTTCATGTAAGACTGCATTTTCTGTTTTTCGATATTAAGAATTTTCAACATGCGTTTTCATGTAATTTTGCAGTTTCTGATTTTAGATACAACTTTCAGCATATATTTTCAAGCGTTTCTGCTTTCCAATTTTTTTTTTAATACAAGGGGCCATTAAATGGATTAATAAATTTCAAGAACTGTTTCACTACCTAAATAAGTAATAAAATTGGTTGCTATGTTGCCTAAAGTAACTATTATTATAACTCAGTTTCAATGACTGGTACACCAAACTAAAATTGCTTTAAGAATAAGTTCTCCGGAGCGAGTGCGAAACTGAATGTAAGAGACGCATCTTAAACGTAGTCTTGTCCTGAACGCAAGTTCAATCGAAACATATTCTTGTTTAGTGAAGAATTTTTTATTAGCAGTTATACTTCTGCTGTCTTCTGTTTCGCGCCTATTATGTTTCATGCAACTACTTCGAAGCTTGTCTTGTTGATCGTTAATTGGACTACTTCTTGATACATAAAGAGACAAATCGTATTTTATCACTATCATCACAGACGTCTATATTTTTCAGTATGTTTGTTAGTTAATTTAACTGATGTATAATGAATTTAGATTATTGATTATTAGAGAACGCAAAACTTTTCAATATACTTTTGGGATTTCTAATTCTGTCACCGGATTGTCTGTATTTTGCATAATCATAACACCTTGAAAAGGAAAAAAAGTACTCCGATCATAATATTAAAAGCAAGTTAAAATATCTGCAATTCAATAAAAGAGGTAATTAAGTTTTTAGAAAAAGGACATGAGAAAAATCTACTGTGCCTTCTCTGAGAATCGAACCAGAGATCTTCCACTTGCTAGCTGAAACCACCAACCATTAATATCACTAAGCACGCAAAGATCAGATAGCTCCTTAAAATATGATAAGACAATGCAATCTGCAACTTTTTTTAATTACTTTAATAATAAATACAAAATGTGTGTATCTATTGCTTAGAATCCATCAAGATTAAATTTTTAAATATGTAAAGAATATGTTTCTGAATACGCTGTATGCATACGTACACTTTGCATTATGAAATATGCTTTGAGAAAGCTTGAATGTAATAAAGAGCATTAAAATTAGACAAAATATTAGCCTTAGATTCGCGTACATTTTAAACGACGATAAAATAAACAAGTTTTAATTAAGAGTGAACATGTCGAAGTCACTGAAAGCTAGTTTTTTTGCAGTCTTATCATCTGAATGACCACAAGGGACGTCTAATTTCGGACATTCTTCTTTTACGCTGTGAATGTGAAAGGGGATGGTAGCCTCAATTCTTGAACGTAAGGAAAAGTTCTTTATTACATTTAATAAACTTTTAATTATATATCTTGAAATTTAATCTGCATAAAACAAACCAGCAGACGAATCTGTGCTCTCTTTGTATCTGACATTTGACTTCACGACTTTCCTTCTTTCTATAAACGTAAAACTGATCTGAATTTTAATATTGTTTCAACAAAACTTTTATTTTTCTTCCTTATAAACGAAAATTTCTTTACACGAGTTTTCTATAACCTAAGCTCCGTGTAATATTTTTTTTAAATCAATAGCGGGATGATATTTTATACTGGTGAGTGAAACTAACCTATTTTTGACATTGCTCCAACCAAACTTTTAATTTTCTATCTTATAAAGAAAACATTTTTTGTGCAGGTTTCTTATACAAGAAGTTCACTGTATTAGCTTTATAACTGTCAGGGGAAATATTTATTAAGAGTGAATGAAAACAAAATTTGGAGATGAAGGCAAAACTTACTGATCTCGTCCTGTTTTGTTCGCACATGAAAATAATTGCTTGAGTGTCCGTTGCATTAGCATCGACGAGACCAAGTATTTCCTCTTTACATGTGCTCCAGCCACTGGAAGCCTGAAAGAAAAGCAAACATCTCATTTGAAGATTCAAAGTTTCGCTTTCGCATTTTTAAAAAATAAAACTGTAAAAGAATAAGGTTTACGAAAATGCACTGACGAGATGTTAAGCATCCATATACTTTTTGTTTCTCTTTTTGCAACTTTTTCATGAGATGAATGCACAAAAACATTCGAAAATGCGTAGAACACAAAGGAGCGTTAGCCCAGAAGAGAAATTAGTCTCGAAACGGCCTTTTGCGTCGATTCACTATAAACGGCGAACCGCTTTTTTAAACTGTTGCCACCAAATATTATCGCCCTGTATTCCATTTAACACCTTGCCTGTGGAACGTATTTGATAAAAATTTGCCAAAAATGGAATTTTTTTTCTTCTTTAATTTTGTTCGTTATCATCATTAAAATGTTAGAAATAGATTATTTAAAAAAAATTTAAATGAAATAACTACTATATTCAATATTTTCACACATATGGGAAATGTTAATGAATTATAGCAATTTTGTGTTCAAATTATAGCAAAATAATTCAAATGAAATAATTTTCAAGCTAAATATAATAAACTAATACAACAATATTATTATGTATATCAAACTGTCATGAATTTCATATCTCTCAGATTTTTACATGAATGGGCCAAATTTTGTGCAGTTTTGCATTCGGGTGTGTTTCAAGGTCGATTTGTTCATTTTTCAAAATTTTCTTATCATTTGAAATCTGTCGTAGGCTATAACTTTGCGAAAGAATGAAGTTTCAAGACATGTTATTTTTTTTATTATTTTTGATCAGCTTTTCGCTTCAACTATTACCTTTCAATACGTTGCTGTGCATATCTATTAGTCTCTTCCGTAATTGTGTGAATCAAATCATAATCAATAAAGAGTTCAAAATATTGTTTGTCTTGAGTGAAAGTAGAAGTGTCAATAGTTGCATCCACTTGTGGTTGTTGGAATGGGAATCTTGGAGCAGCTGGAGCAAGATTATTCAAACATAGCTCCAACCAGGTTCGGCATGAAAGAGTTTCACTTTCGTCGTCATTTTCGGAATAGTCATACTCTTCTGGTGAAATACTGATATCTAAACATGAAGAGCCTAACAAGCATTTTTCATCATCGTCTGATTCCGACACTGGGAATATAATGTGGTTTGAATGAAAATTGGGAAGAAATGCAAAATAACAAAACTCCAACAAATGGCGCGAAACTGCCGAACATTTCGCGGGAAAGTATCGTGATCTATTGGGAAAACGGTAAATTACATATTATTCATTGGACGAACTGAGTTTGGGCTTCATGGAATTGATACAATGACCGACTTTTCTCTTGCCCGAACTCAAATCGGGGATTCCAAAATTAGCGCATTTGCTTTGCCCGAATTGAGTACGGGGGTCACAGGCAAGGGGTTAAAGAAATTAAATAATGAAGAATATGCATGAATGTATGTATGTTTCTCGCAATGTAAAAGACCAAGGGTATATAGAGCCATCACATTTTGAATAACTAATCTTCCACCTGAACATGGGCACCTGCACGCCCAAATTTTGAATTTCGAATTTGTTTTATTATCAATTTTGCCTTTTGTAAAGCTTTAATGAACTTTTCGTTAACAAAATCAACGATTTCAAAGCGAACACTGGCAATAATGTAAGAAAAAAAAAGCATTTTATCTCCAGCACGCGAGACTGTCTATCAGAAATTTTAAAGATATGCTGTTTTTTAAATATTTTGTGATATTGCTGTTGAATTGAATTTTATGTGCAAAGAACATGATAGTTAATAAATACAGGTAACACAAAAAGTTAGAAAAAAACTCCTTTCGGCGTGATAGAAAATCTGAAAGCTTTCAGATTTTTTTAATAATTTCTATGACTTTTTAAGCATAACTTTCTTTCCACTTATGCCATATACACTTCAACACCAAAATTACAAAAATTTTAAGATCAGCGTAGCAATATATGTTTAGATTTCCCAATCCAGTGTTATGTGCTGGCATACATTTTTCTATTTTTTTTTAATGTCTCGCATACGATGATTGACATGTGCATGTTTTCTAGTACGAAAGACATCTATGCATTACTGTATTGGCTGAATTGACTTAGATGTATTGGAAAGCTAACTGATAGTATAATTGAATGAAAATAATGATGACGACCTCTTTCAACAAAACTGTTATTTGCCTCACCACTAGAAAATCTAAGCAATTTAAAATGAAAACTACAATTTGCACCTTGCAAGAGCATTTTAAATTAAATTTTCTGCAATGATAGAGGCAATCTTTGAGATTACCTCGATCAAAATCTACCACTAAGGTTGATTTTGAATGCTTGTACAATTCTAAGGAAGCACAGGACATTGATCTAAATCGTTAATGCGTGGCCACCATAATAGACTTCGGATTTAATTCTATGTGTCTTTTCTTATGGAAGTGTTGTCAAAGACACTGTCTGCCCATGTCCTGCTAATGTTCAGTATCTTCGCAATCGTATCGTATTCCGGTTACTGAGGCTCTGCTTTAGGTTACATTGAGCATCCGTGAAATACATAAAAAACACTTGTGTCTATTCCTCTGTAATAAAATTAGGTATCAATTGCATACTTTATTTTTTATGAAGTTTTTAATATTTCCAGGAATTTTGAAAGATTCTACATTGTTAGCACCACGCTAAAGGCCAGTAAGTTAAGTTGAAATTATTGTGGCTTTCACTGAAATGTTTTCCTTCTAAGATTTTCTAATGTCTTACATTATGAAGAATAATTATGTATTAAAGGTCATCTCATTTACCTCAACATTTTTCATTTATTATTTTTTGAAAGTTTCCTTCTTAATTGCGTTTCGAAGAACAAAATTGCAGTTTCATTGTTTTGTCGTGATCCCTCCAACATGTAGCAAACGTGCAATCAAAAAATAGAATTGTGCATAACATGGCAATAGATAGCAGTGAGCGTTTCGAGTTTATTCACATTTACTCCAAAAAACACCCGATTTATTTAGTAAAATAATTTGAAATAAAAAAGGCATAACCATGGCAATTATTTCAATTATTTAACTACAGAACAAATTAATACCAAAAAGTCTAAAGTTGTTGCCGTTCTGCTCGAACGGGATATTACAGAAAAGATCTCGATAATAATTTAAATGAAAAGCTCAATTTAAAAAACTGAAAAACCAAATGACGAAGTGCGTAACGCATGGCAATAAATCATCTTTATGAATTACAATAATATTGAAAATGTTTATGTTTCAGTTCGATGAAATGTAAGTGTATTTTAAATTGCAACAATTATATACTAAAACATAAAATAAAGACGCAGATTTGTAAGTAGCTTGTTTATTGCTTTTAAATCCTTCATTTTTAAAAAAAAATACAGCTATAACTTAAAATAAATTAAGAAGGTCATAACGCATCTAATAGAATACTTTAATCGAACAGAGAAATAGTAGTCTTCTAAATCCTTAAGTGTGGTCTTTCGATTGAAACAGATCTTACGATATTGCTATTTTTTTACAATAAATATAGTTAAAATATAAAAGTGAACAATGAGTTTCAACTAAATAATTCATCCAAAGTGAACACAAAATTTCAACATAAATAAAATCAAACAATTAATAATTGGCATTTACTATGCTTAACTTTAGAAAAAGTTTCACTGTATTTCTATTTGCAGCTTAACATGTAAATGCTGCTTCCCAAGATTAAATGATTCTCCACCCTTGACTACAATAGACTTGGCTGCTTAGGTGGCAAAGCAGACGAGCGATATCTGGCTAAGGGGAAGTATGCCTTTATAGAGGGCTTTCTAAGGGAAACTAACTCGTATTCATGTTAGGCATAGAAACATGAAAAACATCAAATAAGGCCAGCGCTCCTCTGGTTTCGAACTCAACTAGAATACAGTTCCTATTCAGAGCACTCGATTTTCCTGCTCAGCGGTCTTGACCTCTCGGTCACTGGTCTCCATCCTTGAACTGGCTATTTATCAACAACGCGGTCTAGCAAAAAGCAAAAAAAAAAAAAAAAAAAAAAAAAAAAAAAAAAAAAAAAACATGAAAAATAAAAGATATATAAGATCGTTATGCTAATGTAAAATCTTTAAATAGTAGTCATACGACAAGCAAGGTCTCTGAACTATAAAACTGATTTGATCTTTAAGCTGGTCTAAATAATATAAGTTCTTTAAACTGTAATAATATGAATTTTGTACAGTAACATTACTACAGTTTGCATATAAGATATTATATCTCATGCAATGACTGGTTTGAATTATTTACTAATGGTAAAGCCCTTTAGCATATATAGAGTCTAAGACCATAAAGGATGCTTTCATGGAGGACTTTCTAAAGGAAACTTGCTCGTATATATATTAGGTATAGGGAAAAATCACCAAAACGCCCATGCTAGCCAGCTCACTCCTTTGGATTCGATACATGGAGCCAACTACCAGTGTTCAGCGACTTTATCGCTTCACCACTTGTGGGCCTCCATGCGATGAAAACATTTGCTAGATCACATTGGTGATAACTGGAACGGCATCTCAGCGTAACGGTTCCAAGAAAATATAAAGATTGTTAATAGACATTATTCGCTACTTAAGTTTTCTCTGTCTTCTAAGTCAAATGAATAGTAATCTGCGATATATAGCAGTGTCTTTATTGCCACAAGCAGCATAAATAATACTTTCGTATTAGACAATGAGATCTTAAAGCGCCATAAGACGTAGTACAGTAAAGCTGTGAGGTCTTACTTGATTTGAAATTAGTAATTAGGTCGATAACCCCAACAGAAGTAAAACGAATCATCTGTATATCTGAAGTAACTACAAAGACGTGAAAAGGTTTAAATAATCTTTTTATTTAAACAGACTTTAGAACATTAACGCACCCTCTTGTGCTAACAGTATCAGCCTGATCATGCACCGTAATAATGATGCAACGAAATGATTGTTGTGATGATGCAAAGAAAAAAACAGTCAAATTCACGTTGAACGTGGAACAATATAGTC